GGGCGAAGTGGTTGGAAACCCGCCTGCCAACGCAGGGGACATGGGTTTGAGCCCTGGTCCGGGAAGATCCCACAGGCTGCGGAGCAACGAAGCCCGTGTGCCACAACTGCTGAAGCCCGCGTGCCTACAGCCCCCGAGCCACAGCTAGAGAAAGCCCGTGCGCAGCGACAAAGACACAATGCAGCCGAAAATAAATTAATTAATTACCGAAAAAAAAAAAAAAAAAAATGTATCCTGGCCGCCATGTGGAAGATGGGTTAAAGGCTAGAGGCAGATACACCTGTCGGGGGCCTTGGGTGTGGGCAGGCGTGGAGGTGTGAACGGAGTGAGGGATGGTCATCCACCGTCCAGTTAATCCTCCAACTGTCCGTGGGAGAGAGGCTGCTACCCTCAGTTGGCAGACTAGGGCTCCCAGACTCAGAGAGGCTAAACTGCTTGCTCCAGGTCACACAGCCTGCAAATGTCAGAGTGAGGACTGGGCCCTGGGCAGGACGAGGGCTGTGGGACCCCTGAACCTTCCTGCCCGTCAGCGGCTCCTCCTGAAAGGCGTGTTTCTCACATGCCATCCCCTCTTCCAGCAGATACCAAGGCCCACAGGAAAACAAAGCCTGGGAGTCAGAGTTCCAAACCCACGGTCACCAAGGTAGGTGCCTGGGTGACTTCCTGCTCCGGGTCTCCAGCGAGCAGAGCTCGGGCATCCCCACCCAGCCCCAGAGGGGTCAGCCGAGGAAGGGGGCAACTTATTTTCCTACAAACTACAGAGCACTTTCCTCCCCTCCCCGGCCCTTCAGCGCCCCGAGGATCACCATCCCCATTTTATAGATAAGAGGCTGAGACTTAGAGAGGTGAGGCCACTTGTTGAAAGTGACCCAGAGCTGGGATTTCACCCCTAAGTTCGTGGGCTCTGAGCTGTGCACCCGGCCCTGCCCAGCTCTGTCCCCTTGCTCCTGGTTTGCTTTCTTATAGGGCGAGGATGCTGCTGCTTCCCCAGCCAAAAAGAAGATGGGCAGCAAGGTCCCTAAAAAGCCTGCTGCACAGGGGGCCGGGGAGGGGCCTAAAGCCAAGGCCCCTGTTCCTCCCAAGGGCAGTGGGTCCAAGATGGAGCCTGTACCACTGGCCAGGAAGGCAGAGGCCCCTAAAGGCCCGAGAAAGCCTGGCATTCCCACCAAGTCCTCTTCGTCCAAAGTGGCCAGTAAGAAGGCAGAAGCCGAGAACTAGAGGTGGGGTGGAGACAGACTGAGATTCTACTTTTTTATTCCCCTAAAAACTATCACTCTGTTTCACTGTAACCTATTTATCAATAAAGACTTTTTCCCCCACAAATTGGTGTGGAAGGAGGCTGAGGTCTAAGGGTTTGGCCATCCAGGGCTAGGACCCAGATAGAAGCTTCTGCCCTGGGGAGATGCAGACTGCTGCAGGGATCCAAAGGCACGTAGGCACCTGTGGAGGCACTGGAAAGGTGTTTAATGCAGCCTGAGATCTGGGACTGCTTCCTGGAGGGGGCAGCTTTTGGTCTTAAAGGATGGGTAGGAATTGCCAGTTAGATGAGGGGAAGGGCCTTGCAGGCAGAGGGCCCAGAATGTGGGGTGCAGCTGGAAGGATGGGGATTTGTGGTTTTGAGAGAACAGGTGGGGGAGGGGTGGCATGAGCCCCTGGGCTGTGGAGATGGGGCAGGAAGGTGTGTGTGGAAGGGTGGACTGAGGAGGGCAGACATCGTCTTGGGGGCAGTGGGGAGACAGGGTAAGTTATAGGCAGGGAAGAGGCTGACGTGGTGTGTGTTGAGAAGGAGCCCTGTGGCTGCGGAGAGGAGGGGTTAGAGGAGCTGAGGGGAGGTGTGGACCCTTCGACTAGTCACTGAGTGGGACTCTGGGCCCCTCGGGAATCCTCAGAAGGAAGAAAAAGCACAAAGGCCGTGGGGTGGGAATGCTCTTGACAGGCACGTGTGGCTAAAGCCCAGATGGAGACAGAGGTGAGGTCTGGGGTGTTTTAAAAACGTATGTGACACTCTTCCCATGGAGAGCTGGAGTCTGTGCCCCTGCCCCTTGAACCCGGGCTCTTCGATTGCTTGACCAGTAGACTACAGTGGAATTCACATTAGGACAGTTGCTGGGCTCAGGCCTTAAGAGACTGGCAGCTTCTACTTCCTGTGTGTGGGTTGTTTCTTGTTTTTTCGCTTTTTAATAGCTGCTCTTAGGACTCAGCCACCATGCTGTGTGGAAGCCCAAACAGCCGGTGGAGAATTGAGGCACCCCAGTCGTCAGCCCCAGCTGGGCTCCCTGACCAGCCAGCACCAATTTGCCCGCCATGGGAGTGCACCATCTCGGAAATGGATCACCTATCCCAGTTGAGCGGCCCCCCTGACACCACGTGGAACAGGCGTGGGCCTTCCCTGCCGAGCCCTGCCCTGCCCCAGGCAGACACATAAGCACCACAAATGTATTGGGGTGGTTTGTTACTCAGCAGTAGATACCATAACAGGGGCTGCAGGGTAGACTAGGGCAAGATCCTGAAGGGCCTTGTAAGCCAGGGTAGGAATTTTGGGTTTTGTTTGTGATGAACAGCCGTTAGAGGCCAGTGAGCAGTGGAGTGCCTGCAGGGGGACACGGGCAACAGCAGGGGGCTAAGGAGGCGGCCCCTGAAATGGTCCAGCTGAGGGGTGGGCCGCCATGGAGGGAGGGGTTAGAAGTAGTGGATTCTGGGTAGAAGTTTAAGCAGGGTGGATGGGATATGCTGAGGGAGTGCATGTAGAAAGGGGTCCACAATTTGGGGTCCACACAAGTGCTTGTGTGGCTATCACCTCCTGGGGCGAGAACAGCTCGTTCAGGGGGCTGCCAAGAGATGGTCCAGATGAGGGGTGCCTGCTGAGCCAGGGAGCGCGCAGAGACGTAAGGGGTGGATTTGAAGGGAGTCAGAGGTAAGCTGGATGGCACTTGGGAAGGGGAAGATGGGACACAAAGGGAAACTGAGGCAGCCCAGCATGGAGCATCAGACTGTTCCCTTTCTGCCGCTGCTCCCTCAGCCCTGCCCTCGCATCCCCGAATCCCACGTGAGGCTTTGTCTCACTGCCGATGGCTTCCTGGCTTCCCTGGGGCGTCTGTAACGTGGCTGCCAGCAGAGCCCCGAGGGGCACAGTGAGCAGACGGCAGCGAGCTGGGTTGGCGCTTCCCCCTTAGGGGGTCTGGTTGTGGGAGGCACCCTGGGCAGCCTCTGGGGGGGGGCAGTTGGGCATCACCGGGCATCCCACCCCCACGAGCTGGCAGCAGGCCAGTAGCCCTGACCGGGCAGAGGCCGGACAGCACCCAGCACCCACGAGACTTGGGAGGGCCTCCTCCCCTGTTCTAGGACAGACATTACGCCGAAGTTTCCACCTTCTGTGACCCTCAGACGGAGCTAAGGGACACCTGTAGCTGCAAGGCAAGTCTTCAGGGCCCCAGACAAGGACTGGGGGTGGTTCACAGTGGTTGGCCACCTTCTGTGCCGAGAAATGACCCTAGAAACTAGAGATGTCCTCCCTGTGCAAATGCGTTTTTAAGCTTCAAGAAGGAATTGCATGTTAATCAGGCATTAAAACAGGCTGTGGAATAGTTAATGGCATAGGAAGATGTTGCATGGGGTACAAGGCAGCTGCGAAACGGTGAGTACATCCTGATCTCGATGATCACTCCTCAGCCTCCGATCCAGGCAGGCACACGATTTGGAGTTTGGAATGGCATGCTCTCAGATTTTAACCATGGGTGGGTTAGGGTAGCTTTTATTTTCTTCAGGCTTTTTGTACTTCCTGTCAGTTCTGCAGAAAACATGTATTCATTCTAGCATCACACCCCCCAAAAAAATTCTTATCAAATTGTGTAAATAACTTAGACTAGAAAGTCTGCTGCTTAATAAAAAGGCATCAGTGATCAGAATAGAGAATTTGAAAAGATAAAGAATCTCTGCCCAGAAGGCACTACAGGAAGAGGCTATTTTTAAAGCTAAAAATTGTTTACTTTTCTCATTTTTCTGTTCTCAATTCTAGAACTGGTATTTTTGGGATTTTGTTTAAATTGTACGAATTTTTCTGTCCTAGCTCTTACTCCTGATTAATGTGTGTGTGTGTGTGTGTGTGTGTGTGTGTGTGATTATTTTTCCTTCATAAAAAGAAAAAACTAACTTAAGCTGCTTCTGATTTGGAGGTGGTCCTTTAGTGACCTTTCCTGGGGGTCAGTGAACCTCAGCCCCAGCTCAGGCCTAGAGCCAGCTGGGTGGGCTGGGGGTCTCTGTGGTATTTGCTGATCCCAAGTCATGTGCTGTGGTGAGAAATAGTGCAGGGTTATACCAGCCTGGGAGAAACTGCCTGTCTCCTCATCTGAATAATGGAGTTAATGGTATGTATTTATGACAAATTCAGGGCGAGTGTGTAAACGGCAGTTCTCTTTCCAGGGTGCTCACCTTGGAGCTCCCCACACACTTCGGGGGCCGCTGTGGAAACGCCAGCCTGGAGGAAGCATGGAACAGAGGAATGAGGGGCCCACGCAAGCTGGTTTTTGGCTTCCCTGTGCCGTGACCTGGGAAATTCCTCGACTGTGCTGAGAGTCAGTTTCTACATCTGTAAAATGGGGACGATATTCTGTTCCTCACGGCTTATTACATAGGTAAGTAGGTTAGGAGCAGGGCCTGCCCAGGGGTAGATGGCACACAGCAGCTGTGACGTATTCCTGGCGGTCAGTGGATGCCCGCGTTTCCCCACTAAACCTTCTTGGAAGCGGAGTTGGTATCTGCACACCCCTCACGAGGGGAGCTGGGCAGCGTCCTAAGCCAGGCCCCCCTCCCTCCTTTCTGCTACAAGCACAGCCATCTCAGGATAAAGGCTGGAGCCCACGGCAGGTTTTCCCATCAGGCTTTTATTATAAAGAAGGTTCCAGAGCATCCCAGCCTCCCCCTCTAGCCCAGCCCCAAGGTCTGCGACCTGTCCCAGCACTGGCTGGGTCAGCCCCAGCCAGCCGCTTCTGGCGGAACAGAAAGGACGGTGTTCTCAGGCCGCGGGGGGTCTCTGCCAGGTCTGCCTGTCCCCTGGAACAGTCATTTCCAGTGTCGCACTGGGAGCCCCTCGGGACCCCTCCCCGGGTCCTCTGCACTAGTGGCAGCTATTCACAGTTGGCGCGTGGTAAGTTTTTTAACATATAAAAGCTTTTTTTTTAAAAAAAAACAACAACAAAAAGTGGTGCTCTCTTTAGAAACACTTCCAGCAAGATCAGGTAGCCCAGCTACAGCCTTGGTGCAATTCAGCCCCCTCCCCTCCCTCGAGACCAGGATCGCCCAGCACCTGTCCCCTCGGCCCCCGCCCGCCCGGCTCCCAGGGCGGCACAGAGCCTCCCGCGGGCAGTGGATGCTGCCCACTCGGCCAGTGGCCGCTCAAGCACAGAAACCTGACACTGCCGGATGGCGTGTGGCCAGGATCCTCTGCAGGTGAGGAGAGCTGGGGACAACGTTTCGGTGGTTGAAGCGGAAGCCAGCCGAGGGCTGGTCCGAGGGGCCTCCCCTCCACCGGGTAGGATGAGGTAGTGTTTCCGGCTGCGACCTCAGAGCCGGGCGGCCTCTTCGCCCATCGGTGGGTTCGCTGGCACTGGGCCGTGCAGGGCAGAGCCCATCGGTGGGTTCGTTAGCACTGGGCCGTGCGGGGCAGAGCGAGTGGGACGCCGTCCAGGCCGTGCTAGGTGGACGGTGGGAGCCTTACCGGGGAACGACTGCAGCATTTGAGCCCCCAGCCCTGAGCCGGGTCTGGGGGCAGGTGGGAGAGGACGGTGCCCAAGGGGCCAGGGCTAGGGGCTCCGCTGGCTGGCTCAGAGAGGCCCCTCGTGCTGCGTCGTTTCCCAGCCGGAGTCCGAGGCACTGGGGACAAAGCGAAGTCGAGGGAGGGCGCCCGTCCTGCCAGCCCCAGGCTCAGGCCTCGCTGTAGCACTCGTAGATGTTGTCCTCCATCAGGGCCACCACCTGCTCAAACTTGTGCTGCAGCTGCGTCCTCCGGGCTGTGGGGTTTGCCTCCAGGGCGCTCATGATCTGAGGGGGAAGCGGAGGGAGCTGGGCCCAAGCCCGGGCCCAGGACCCCCAGGTCCCACCGCACATCCTGGGGGAGAACACACCGCCTGGATTTCCACTGCTGGTGGCCACCCACAAAGCGGAAACGTCCTGGGGATATGAATGCCTGAGAGGGACCCTCACCCTGGGTTTGTTTCCCTGAGCAGGTGGCAGTGAGCAGGGCTGACATGGGGGGCATCGTAGCTGCGAGGGGGGCCTCGCACTGGGGGGCTACTCACCTGTGGGCGATACCTCTTGGCGTATTTATAAATCTCTGCCATGGCCACGTTGGTGTTGAACTCATTCTGGTATTTCTGTGAGGAAAGACAAGGCGGGAGTTGGAGAGAGGCTGACTCCGTGGTCAAAACCAGGCCCAGCCCAGCCAAGACTCGCTGCTTAAACACAGCCCCTCGCTGACGGTCAAGTCCCGCCCTGTCCCGCACGGCAAGGTCAAGTCCCGCGGCACACCCGTGACTCCTCTGCCAGGTGCGCGTTCATTTCCTGCTCGCTGAGCGGAGTCATGTCATGGATTTGTTTGTAGTAGCGCTGCACGATTTTCCGGTACTCGGGAATCTCCTTGGCGTAGAGCAGCTTGTTGGTTGGTGAGTCCTGGGCAGAGAGGAGTGAGGGATTAAGACACAGACTCGTTTTCTCCTGGATGAGCCCTCGTCTCTCCCGCTACACAAACGAGCCCATCACTGAACGTCCCCGGCCTGCGAGCTTTGGACCAGGGACCCCCACCCCTCTCCTCTCTGCCCTCGTACTTGGAACCCCTGCCCTATTTTCTACGGCACTGTCAGGGTGATGACCTCAAGGGAGGACCGACTTTTAGGGGAAAAAGTGCACGGGCTTGTGCCAGCTCTTTGACACGCAGGCTGTTTTGTTTGTATCCTTGCTTAGGGATATGGGTCTTGGTGGCTAAGATTTCTGGAAGCCTGACTGCTGTCTCAGTGGAATATTTCCCACCACATGTTTCCTACGCCTGAAAGCAAAACGTGCCAAGTATGTTCCCAGTTCTCTGTCATGGGCGTCCTGCTTTCCAAGATAGTGTGTGAGAGGTGATGGCATTTTCTGCCTCGCGTGGCCTCTCTCTGAAAGTCATGGGCTAAACACAGGGCCAGGCACCCGCCCTCCTGCAGGGGCAGGTCTAATGCTACCATTTCATTAACGCTCACAGCCTCCCTGCCCGGTCCAGGCCCTTCCCTCTGCCTGGAATGCCGCTCTCTCTCCTCCGGGCCCGCTAAAGCCAGCTGGATCCTCCCCCTGCAGACAGATGCCTCAGGGGTCTCCCTCCTGCATGTATTCAAAGGTCTTGGTCACTTGTGCCCCCCTCTGCCCACCCCTTCACTCAGTGCCCACTGGCTGGCTCTTGACCATCAGGGCTGCCGCCCGGAGCCCACGGGTCTCCGATGGTGTGCCAGACCAGGCAGGCTTTCCACGTTCACTCTGGCTTCTCCTGGCCTGGCTCCACGGCCTCAGCGTTGGGAACTGGTGCGGGGCACACCTGAGGCAGCTGCCGCCAGTCTGCAGCCACGTAGTTTGACTGTGGGTGGCGGTTTCTGGGAGTCCCCCCTGCTTCTGATGACCGCGTTCATTCCCACATCCCCCAGATCTGAGCTCTTTTGGTTCCCCTCCCAGAAGGATCTCCGTCCCCATCAGCACCACGTGGCCTGCCCAGGAGCAGCTGACCTTGCCCAGCTGCAGGTCCGAGATGGAACAGGCGTCGATGAAGGCCTGTGCGATGACTGAGAGGCAGGCATCGATGTGGTCTGTCTTCTCGATGTCAAAGACAAACTGTGGGTTTTTCAGGATGTTCACCCAGAACCGGAGAGGAAGGCTGTGGGACAGAGAGTGACAGGGGCAGCGGCGTGAGCCCCCCCCCCCGCCCCGGGGGGTGGGCAGCGGAGGCAGTGGTTGCCGAGGGGGCTTGGGACAGGCTGGCTTTGCCCCTCGAGGCCAGCGGAGACTAGTCACAGGACAGAACCTCTGGAAACCTCGGTTTTTTCCCCTACAAATGCGGCTGATGGCCAGCCCTGGCCGGCTGGGGCAGCAGAGGGGCTGGGAGCTGGGTTTCCTGCGTGGAGAGGGCCACGGGCTGCGGCAGGAGCTGCAAGACCTGGCTTCACCCTCGTTGCCCGCCCCACCCCTGCAGAGTCGCCCGCTCTCACGCAGCAGCCTGGAGCCAGCGAGCCAGTCCTGGTTCCCATTAGAGCCCCCGCCCTGCCCCCACCTCGCAGCCCATGGCTCCTCCTCCAGCCCCTGCATGGCTGCGGGAAGTCCATCATTAGCTGGGTCACCAGGCAGACTGAGGGAGGGGAGAGGCCTGGATCCTTCGCCTCAGGGGGCCGGAGGGTTGGTAACACCCTCCTCCCCAGTGACTGGGCAGCCTGGGACATACAGACCCCTCACCCCACCCCGCCCAGAGCTCTGAGCAGCCCCTGCAACTACACAGAAACTTCTAGGTCTGCGGCATGTTTTTCTGGGGGTTAGGCTGAGGTTTTCAACAACTTCTTGTTGGGGTTTGTGACCATGAAAAGCTAAACCGTGCCTCAAAGCAGGGATGTGATCGGAGACAGGAACATCTCCACGAGCCTCAGCGTGCTCATCTGTAAAACGGAGCTGACGGTGCCCACCGCAGAGGGGTGGAGGAGCGTGATGGTAAGGGCAAAACTCAGACAATGCTCACTTCTAGTTAATTCTTACAATTAAAGTGGGTTACTTTTACTGCCCTGGTTTTATAGCTAGGAGAAACTAAAGCACAGAGAGGTTAAGTCACTTACCCAAGGCCACACAGCTTGGAATGGCATAAGGGATTGAACCAAGGCCAGAGGGCTGAGAGAGCAGGCTCTGAACCCCCGCACCACTGCTGCCCCCAATGATGGAGTGAAGCCACACAGCCCTCCCCTCTGGCCTCCCACCCACACCACACTGGCCCACCACCTGTTGGTCTTCCAGATGTGCAGGGTGTCAGGGTCTGAGATCCCCCTCTTCTCTGCTTGCTCTTCCAGGAAGTCAAAGAAGTACTTGACAGCCAGTGGGGGCTTGTCTTCACGGATACTCAGAATGGCCTTGAACAGGTCATCCAGAAACTTCTGCAGCGTGCCCTGCATGGAAGCAGGTGGCCGTCGTCAGCCCAGGACCACACGGAGCGGGGTAAGCAGGCACCTCCGGAGGTTCAGGGGAGCCCATGGTGCTGGGACTGAGCAGTGCTGGGTGAATGGGGAAGCTACGTGGTATCAGGCTGGTCATCTAACCTCTCCGGGCCTCGGTCTTCCTGTCTGTGAAACGGGTTAGTGCAACCTACCCCACAAGGGTGTTGGAAGGACTGAGACATAGAGTAGGGAATTGCTGGGCTGGAGTGTGAGCTCTCAGGCACGCACTCTGCTGCCCCAGCCGTGTGGTCTTGGGGGCATCACTGGGCCTCTGCTGCCCTCCGTGTCACACGGGCTGATGGAGAAGTTGTCATCGGGCACCCTTCATGCTGGGAGCAAACCCCTCCTCAGCTGGGACCCAAAGCCCTCAGCCTCTCGCCCCAGAGCCTGGCTGGCCCCAGGGGACCCACTGTTCCCCTCACTCCAAGTGTGTGCTCACAGCTGACCCACTGGAGTGAGGACACAGAGAGGAGGGTGGGCCCACCTTGGTGGACAGCAGGCGGGTCAGGTAGATCTCTGGTAGCACCTTCTTGCGGTGGCTCTGCCGGTGGGACTTCTTGGGTTCTGCCAGCTCATCCGTGGGCAGCACCTGGGAGGCCGGGGCAGTGGTCATTGCTGGCACCAGGCACCATCCCCGGCCGCCCGTGGGCACTGGGCTCTCTTTGTGGTGCACACGAGCTACCCCGGGTCCCGTTCCCGCTCCCCACTGCAGCCTTTCCCAGGGCCTGCAAGCACTGCCCGCCGAGGCCCAGGGTGGCAGGAAGCCAAGTCGACACCCAGTGAAGGGCGGGCACGCCCAGGGCCGGAGGCAGGGCACTCACCAAATGGAAATACTTCTCTGTGTCCAAGTCTTTCACTGCGAGAGGGAAAACACACACAATAAACGAGCGAGGAGTGGGGAGAGAGAGAAACAAATGGAGACAAAAAGATGGAGAAAGAAACTGAGCTCAATGGACAGAGCCAAACGCACATGCGGAGAGAACAAGGCAGAGAGAGAGAAATGCAAAGTAAGAGAGCTGAGAGCGAGATCCAGAGACACACACAGAGAATGAGGTAGAGAGAGAAAGACAGAGGTGTTGACAGACGGAAACATCCACAGGGTGACAGCAGGAGCAGGGAGACAGTCACGGCCCCCGAGTAGGGCAGGGCAGCGGCCCTCACCCCCCAGCCCAGACCTCACTGGGAGAGACCTCAGAGCCTGCTCCTTGCCTCAGGAGGGGACCCCAAGACCCAGAGGAGCCTAGGACCCCAGGCCTGGGGCATCTGAAGGTATGGATGGGAGGTTTGAGGTGGGGACACAGGCCAAAGCCCACATGGCCTCTTGGAATCACATCCCACCCTCCTGGGGCCTCTCTCTGCTGCCCGCAGGAATCCAGCGCTGAGAGGGCAGGCCACAGGCCCTGCCAAGCAGCCCTGCGGCAGGGGGACCCGGCCCCACCCCCAGCAGGGAGCCTGAGCTCCGCCCAGCCCTGTCCCTCGAAGCCTCAGCTTCCCCACTGGGGCCGCTCAGAAGGGGCCCTCCCCACGTCCACCAGGACTACCTCGGCCCAGGGTGTTGTCCTTCTTGTCTGTGAGGCTCATGGCCAGGGAGGCACCTTCAGGGATCTGAGGGGGAGAGAGGCCGAGGTCAGAGGGCGGAGGTCAGGGAGGGTGGGAGTGGTGGGAGGTGGGTGGAGCCGGGGCCCACCTTGTAGTGGGCCAGCGTGTTGAGCTTCTTGCGGCCATCCTCGACCACCGAGGTGTCGTCCAGGTCCCGCAGGATGTAGCTCTGCGTGCTCGAGGCGAACCACTCTGCGGGCAGGGGGCAGGGAATCAGGGCTGGGAGCAAGGGCCGCGGGGAGGCAGGCCCCCAGCGGGCCACACGGGGAGAGAACCGGGGGCACCCACACCTGTCTCTGAGCCTCTACTTGCCCATCGGGGAGACGGGGAGGGGAGACGGTGCCGGGCGCAGAGCAGGAGCTCTGGAAAGGCCTCATCCTCGGGGCTGTCACTGGGATCTCAGATCTGCTGGGGAGGCCTCTCCCGCCCACCCTGGCAGCAGCCTGCATCGACCTCCCACCGCAGGCCCTGTCTCCCCTCCCCGCCCCACACAGAGCTCCTGGCAGCTGACCTGTCTGCACGTCCCCAGAGCCACAGTTAGCGCACATCTGATGAGCGGCGGGAGTGTGTGCGCCCAAGGCAGGAGCCTGCGCTGCTGAAGCAGCCCCACGCCTGCCGCCCCGGCCCTGCCCACCTAGGTCGACGTCCTCGGCACGCGGCCACTGGGAGTAGGGCACGTTCTTGCAGAAGGCTTCCAGGATCTTCTCCTTCACCTGCGTCAGCGTGTCTGTGTCCATGGCCCGCACGCTCAGCGAGTCCATACCGCAGCCCTGGAAGGACACGTTCAGATTCTGCAGGAGAGAGGGGGAGGGTCAGCGGGCGCCCACCGGGCCCTGGAGGGGAGACAGCCTGCAGGGGGTGGGGGGCCGGGCAGCGGTGGAGCCGGGACTCTCCGGGGGTGCGGGACCCCGCCCGCCCGCCCGCCCGCCTGCCCGGCTCACCCGGGGCTTGGCCTCGATGTTCTCCCGCAGCAGCCACTCCTCGTTGAGCGTGTAGCGGGCCTTGCCTGTGATGGCGTCGATGGAGCCCTTGTTGATCTGCTGCTTGATGGCGCACAGGAGCAGGAAGAATGGCTCCCCCACCGTCTCCTGAGCAAGGTGCGCGCCTGTCAGAGGCTGAGGCCAGACTGCCTGGCCCAGCCCCTGGCCTCCAGCCCACACTCCAGACTCCGGCCCCAACCTGGAATGCCTTCGCTACCCCCTTCTGCCAATACCTCCGTGGCTGCCTGCTTATACCCTCCTTTTGATCGTGGTGCCGCTGCCTCACTCCCATCCCCCACCCAGTCTCTGTGGACTCCAAGCTCGAACATCGCCTTATGTGGGTGGCCACATTCATTTCATCCTGCCAGCAACCCTTCCATGTACGGGATGTCATTCTCACTGCCGAGACTCAGAGAGGGCAAGCAACCTGCTCAGGGTCACCCAGCAGGGAAGTGGCAGAGCTGGACTCAAAGGCACCTCAGAGGGCATGTGAGGACTGAGAAAACAATCTTCTGAAACAATGCCACTGACAAGAGCCTCTGTTCTATCCTGGGCTTGCTCTGAGCCCTTGCAGGGAGTCAGGCCTTCTCTGAGCCTCAGTTTCCCCATCTGTATAATGGATCCTATGGGGCTGTCCCTGTGCCCTCCGAGCCCCCCATTCCACATCTGCACAAAGAACATGATAATCCCTTCGGCGGAGTTGGCATGAGAATAAAATGAAATCGGGTCTAGGCGGCGGCACAGCTGCCCGGCACCCTCACCCTCAGGCAGCTGTACATGCAGATGGACATCCAGTTGGTGAGCATCTTCTCGACCACAGACTCCGTGCGCCTCAGCATGAGCTTGGGGTTCTTGGCGGCCGAGGCGTCGATGAGGTCCACCAGCAGCTCCTTCATGATGCCCGTATAGTACTCGAGCTTGCCGTGGAGCGCAATCGTCATCAGGGAGGCCAGGCTGCACCTGTGGGCGGGCGTGGGCTGGGGGCGTCAGCACCACCCGCACCGCAAGGCCCCGGGCTCCGAGGACCACGCAGTGGGGGTTCTGCTGCTACCTTGTCGCTGGATGCAGACGGGTGAGTGTGACTAAAATCTTGCTGGAGAAAGGGCTACCTTCCCTACCATGCACAGCAACCGCCATGCCCACGAGCCCTGTCCTGGCAAGCAGACCAGGAAGGGGAAGAATGGGGAGGGGGGGGGTCTCAGGACCTCCAAAGCCCCAGCACCCAGGGTCTGACGCTGGGGAGATGCCAGCTGCCCCAAGGACATGGTGATTTGGAAACTGGCCCAGCCTTGGATCCAGCCAGGCAGACCCAGGACCGGCTGGGTGGCCTCCAGCAGGCCCCTGCCCTCCCCAGGAGCCTCGCAGCCTGACCTGTCCCGCACTGCGAAGTCCTTCTGTTGCTCCAGTGCGTGGACGAAAACAATGAGGAAGTGCTTGTTGTTGAGCAGCGAGGAGAACAGGCTGATGCCCTCTTCCATGTTGGGCCGGCAGCTCTCGGGGATCTGCAGAAGCATTCAGTGAGGGGGTGTCCACAGAGGTCCAGTGTCTCTGCCTGGCCTAGGAGTCAGCGCTTAGGATACCCTGAATGGCTCCTCAAATGCTTCCTGGGAGGGGGAGCTCATTACCTTTAGTGGTAGACGCCTCCTACCTCCCTGTGAATGGGAACAGTGGCTCAGTTGAATTGAAAAGTGAGGCTCAGGCAAGGGTGCCTGAAGGCAACCCAGTATCCCTGTGTGAGGGGGGGACCCTCTCACCTTCCATTCTCTAAGCAGCAGGGGGAGTGGGATGTCCAGGGGGGACCCAATCCTCTCCCATCTCTACCTGGCCTGGGGGTCAGCACATAGAACACCCTGGATGGCCCCTTGAATACCTCCTGTGATGGAGGGCTCACTACCATCCAATAGCAGGTTCCTCCCAACTTCCCATGATTAGGATCAATGGGTCAGATGAGCTGGAAAGTGGGGCCCAGAGAGAGATGGGGTTGCCCTGAGGCAGCCGTGTGTGTGTGTGTGTGTGTGTGTGTGTGTGTGTGTGTGTCTGTGTGTGTGTGTGTGTGTGTGTGTGTCTGTGTGTACGGGTGGAGGACTACTCACCTTCCACTCTCCCAGCAGTGGGTGGGTCTCCTGCACCAGGGAGCTGCCCGGGGAGTTGAGGGTCTGGGAGGGCAGGACGTAACGCTCTTCATAGAGGGAGGAGCACTGTGGAGGCAGACCCCCAGCCCCTCAGCAGGGCCGCAGACGCCCAGCATCTCGGCAGGGCTGCACCTTCCCCTGACGCATGCAGGGGCCGCTCGACAAATGCCAAAGCCCACTTTACAAAGGAAGAGGAGGCAGCGGGCCGCACCCAGGTGCCATAGGACTCCAGAGGAGAGGGGAGGGGAGTCCCCGGGGGCTTCCTGAAGGAAAAGGAGCGGAAGCACCAGGAGCCCAGGTGTGGCAAAGCTCGAGTGCACGAGGCTGAAGAGGAAGCAAAAGCAGCTCCATGCAGAAAGAGGGAAACTGAGGCAGAGGTGCCTGCAGGGACCACAACATGGGCTCTCTGTGGCTGCTGCATGGAGAACAGTGTGGACGGGGCCAGAGGAGGGTGCTGGCCCCTGGCATAAACACTCCTGACAGGCCAGGGAAGGTGGGGACAAGGCAGCGGCCCCTGGAACACCACAAGGAGGCATGGCAGGGATGGGACAGAGTCCAGTGGACAGACGGAGGAGATGTGGAGGCCCAAGAGGCCTCCCTGGGAAGGGGCCCGGAGAGGAGAGGAGCTGGCAGGGAACCGGCGCCTCTACTCGCCCCCCGGGAGGGGAGGCGTGCCCAGCACCCCAAGGGAAAAGTGGGCCTGGCAGCCAGCTTCTGTATGGACAGTTAAAACATCAGTGGGCAGGGAAGGAAAGTGGGGGAAACTGGGCCCTCTCCCTCGGCAGGCCAGGGCAGGGGCCCAGGCTGCCACGGGCAGGCGTGCAGGTTTCGTACTGCTCAAGGGGCCCAGGCTGCACTTGTCAAGTTGTCCCATCGGCACAGAAGTGCCCTCTAGGTTCCCAGGGCCCGGGGAGGGGGCGAGGAGCTCCTGAAGCAGCCGGCAGGGGCCCGAACTGACCTTAGGGAAGAACGTGCGGGTCACAAAGTGCTTGTACTCCAGGAAGGGGATGCCCTGGCTGCGGTTCAGCTCCTTGGTCAGGTCCGTCATGTCCGTCTGCAGCTCAGCAAAGCCTGGTAAACAGGCAGCGGCTGTGAGTGGATCAGACGGTGAAGCCGAGGCCCAAGGTCCCGCACGGTCGCCACGCGCTACCTTTACGGATTTCCTCTCGGATCTGGGATTCCATCTCCTCCATCTGCAGCAGTGTCTTCTGCCAGTAGCGCTCAGCGCGGCGGCTCTTGGTGCAGAAGACAAACAGGGCTGTGGGCAGCAGAGAGGCGGGTCAGGCCAATGAAAGCCCTTTGCAGAGCATTTGTCGGTACCTGCCCTGTGCAGGGCCTGGGCCCGAAGGGAGAGGTCCTGCCTGCGCCCCTCAGCTCCAGCTCCTTGGCGCAGGCGCCTCAGCTCACGGTCCTCTCCTCCCCAGTGGGTTGAAAACTACAGGGCCAAGGGCTTGGGAAACGGCCAGGAAAATAAGGCTCCATGTCCCATTCTTATAAGAAATGTGTGTTTGCTTAAAATAGTGATAAACACCTACCCTTCTGAAACTCTTCCAAAACACTGCAGAGGAAAGAACACTCTCAGACTCATTCTATGAGGCCACCATCACCCTGATACCAAAACCAGACAAAGATACTACAAAAAAAGAAAAATACAGGCCAGTATCACGGATGAACATAGACGCAAAAAATCCTCAACAAAATACTACAAACCGAATCCAACAACACATTAAAAGGATCACACACCAAGCTCAAGTGGGATTTATCCCAATGATGCGAGGATTTTTCAATATCTGCAAAAAGAAAATCAGTGTGATCCACCATATTAACAAATTGAGAAAGAAAAACCATATGATCATCTCAATAGACGCAGAAAAAGCTTCTGACAAAATTCAACACCCATTTATGATAAAAACTCTCCAGAAAGTGGGCATAGAGGGAACCCACCTGAACATAATAAAGGCCAAATATGACAAACCCACAGCAAACATCATTCTCAATGGTGAAAACCTGAAAGCATTTCCTCTAAGATCAGGAACAAGACGAGGATGTCCACACTCACCACTATTATTCAACACAGTGTTGGAAGTCCTAGCTGCAGCAATCAGAGAAGAAAGGGAAATAAAAGGAATCCAAATTGGAAAAGAGGAAGTAAAACTGTCAGTCACTGTTTGCAAAGGGCAGGATACTATACATAGAAAATCCTAAAGATTCTACCAGAAAACTACTAGAGCTAATCAATGAATTTGGTAAAGTAGCAGGATACAAAATTAATACACAGAAATCTCTTGCATTCCTATACAATAACAATGAAAGATCCGAAAGAGAAATCAAGGAAACAAGCCCACTCAACATTGCACAGAAAAGAATAAAATGCCTAGGAATAAACCTACCTGAGGAGGCGAAAGACCTATACCCTGAAACCTATCAGACGCTGATAAAAGAAATTGAAGATAAACAAACAGATGGAAAATATACCATGTTCTGGGACTGGGAAGAATCAATATTGTGAAAATAACTATACTACCCAAGGCAACCTACAAATTCAATGCAAACCCTATTAAATCACCGATGGCATTTTTCACAGAACTAGAACAAAAAATTTTACAATTTGTATGGAAACACAAAAGACCCCTGAATAGCCAAAACAATCCTGAGAAACAAAGATGGAGCTGGAGGAATCAGGCTCCCTGACTTCAGGCTATACTACAAAGCTACAGTAACCAAAACAGTATGGTACTGACACAAAAACAGAAATATAGATAAATGCAACAGGATAAAAAGCCCAGAGATAAACCCACGCACCTAGGATCAATCTATGACAAAGGAGGCGTGACTATACAGTGGAGAAAAGATGGTCTCTTCAATAAGTGGTGCTGGGAAAACTGGAGAGCTACATGTAAAAGAATGAAACTAGAACATTCTGTAACACCATACACAAAAATAAACTCAAAATGGATTACAGATCTAATGTAAGACTGGAAACTATAAAACTCTTAAAGGAAGACAGGCAGAACACTCTGACATAAATCACAGCATTAACTTTTGTGATCCACCTCCTAGAGTAATGAAAATAAAAACAAACGGGACCTAATTAAACTTAAAAGCTTTTGCACAGCAAAAACAAAAACAAAAACCCAAAAGACCATAAACAAAACAGAAACACAACCCACAGAATGGGAGAAAATATTTGCAAATGAAGTGACTGACAAGGGATTAATCTATAAAATATACAAACAGCTCATGTAGCTCAATATCAAAAAAACAAACAACCCAATCAAAAAATGGGTGGAAAATCTAAACAGACATTTCTTTAGAGAAGACAAACAGATGGCCAAAAAGCACATGAAAATATGCTCAACACTCCTAATTATTAGATAAGTGCACATCAGAACTACAATGAGGTATCACCTCACGCTGATCAGAATGGCCATCATCAAAAAGTCTACAAACAGTAAATGCTGGAGAGGGTGTGGAGAAAAGGGAACCCTCTTGCACGGTTGGTGGGAATGTAAATTGATACAGCCACTATGGAGAATAGTACGGAAGTTCCTTAAGAAACTAAAAACAGAATTCCCATATGACCCAGCAATCCCACTCCCAGGCATATATCCAGAGAAAACCATAAATCAAAAAGATACATGCACCCCAATGTTCACTGCAGCATTATTTACAATAGCCAAGGCATGGGAGCAGCCAAAATGTCCATCAACAGAGGAGTGGATAAAGAAAATGTGGTACATATATGCCATGGAATATTACTCAGCCATAAAAAATAATGAAATAATGCCACCTGCAACAACATGGATGGACCCAGCGATGATCATACTAAGTGAAGGACATCAGACAGAGAAAGATAAATATCATGATATCACTTGTATGTGGAATCTAAAAAAAAATGATACAAATGAGCTTATTTACAAAACAAACAGACTCACAGGCTTTGAAAACAAACTTACAGTTACCAAAGGGGGAAGGTGGGAGGAGGGATAAATTAGGAGTTTGGGATTAACATACACACACTACCATATAACACAGATAACCAACAAGGACCTATTGTATAGCACACGGTACTGCACTCAACACTCTAATAACCTATATGGGAAAAGAATCTGAAAAAGAATGGATATATGTTTATGTATAACTAAATCACTTTGCTGTACACTTGAAACTAGCAACAATGTAAATCAACTATAATATAAAATAAAAATTAATTTAAAAAAATTACTTGAGTGAAAAAAATAAAATAGTGGTAAACAGTGGATTTCTCTAGATGAGAGAATTATGGGTGATTTCTGTTCTCTTTCTGCTATTTAGCATTTTCAGTTCTTTCTACAACGACGAGGTATTACTTGTGAATTAAGAAACTTTTAAAAGATTACAAAGCAGTATTATATTATAACCCCTTTCTGGGATGTAACCCATCTCTATATATCTCACACAACGAGATGCATAAAATATACATGGGGCTTCCCTGGTGGTGCGGTGCTTAAGAATCCACCTGCCAATGCAGGCGACACGGGTTCGTGCTCTGGTCGGGAAAGATCCCACATGCCGCAGAGCCACTAAGCCCGTGCGCCATAACTACTGAGCCTGAGCTCTAGAGCCCACAAGCCACAACTACTGACCCTGCACGCCACAACTACTGAAGCCTGCGCACCTAGAGCCCGTGCTCCGAAACAAGAGAAGCCACCGCAATGAGAAGCCCGCACACCGCAACCAAGAGTAGCCCCCGCTTGCCGCAACTAGAGAAAGCCCATGCACAGCAACGAAGACCCAACGCAGCCAAAAAATATGTATGATATCTTTATATATTATATATTCTATCCCAGTTTTCCCTAAATTTTCTACATTGAATATATTACTTTTTTAAAAACAGTTTTATTGAGATATAATGCACATGCCGTATAGTCTATCCATGTAAAGCATACAATTAGTATATTCACAGGGTTGTGTAACCATCACTACTATCTAATTTTAGCACACTTTCCCTGCCCCTTGAAGACCCATAACCACAAGTAGTCAGTCCCCATCCACTCTCCCCCTGCCCCTGGCAACCACTAATTTGCTTTCTGTCTTTATCGATTTGCCTATTCTGGACGTTTCACATAAACGGAAACAAACTATGTGATCTCTTATGTCTGGCATCTTTCACTTATCACGACATCCTCAAGGGGCATCCATGCTGTACCATGTGTCAGGACTTCTAAAAAATTACAAAGCAGTACTTATAACGCCCTTCTGAGATGTAATCTATCTATCTATATATATATCATACAATGAGATGTATAAAATACATATATTCCTTTATGGCTTAATGCTATCCCATGGTATGGATAAACCATACTTTCTTTATCCATTCATCAGCTGATGGACATCTGGGCTGTTGCCACTTTTGGTGATGAATAATGCTGCTATGAACATTCATGCACAGGTGCTTGTGTGGACATATGTTTTCATTTCTCTCGGGCAGATACCCAGGACGGGGACTGCTGGGTCACACGGTAACTTTATTTAACACGTCGAGGAACTGCCGGAGAGTTTGCCACGGCAATGGCACCATTTAAATTCCCACCAGCAGTGTATGAGGGCTTCAATTTCCATGCCACATTGAATACATTACTTTCATAACCGTTATTTTGATAGTGGTATAGCCTACCTAAGAGGAAGGTTAATCTTCCTGAACAGCCCTCTTGTAAGTACCTTCAGCAGGCCCTACTGACTGGAGAACAAGGATCTGAATCCCTCTGCATGGCACTCAGGGCCCATCGCCTGGGCCCAGCATACTTCTCAACAGCTACTGTCCTCTACCTTCTGTGCTGTGGCTGGGGCACACTCCTCACCACCCTCTGAGCGCCTCACCCATTCCTACCTTCACGCCTCTGTTCAGTCTGCCCCGGCCCACTATGCCTTCTCTCCTACCCACTGATCTTCAGAGGGGCTGAGGCAAAGTGGGGTAGGTCTGCCCCCGCAAAACGACACGAGGGTGGGGCTCCTTACCAACCACGGAGAGCAGCAGCAGGACACTACAGATGACAATGGACACGATGATGGCGGTCTCACTGCCCCCCAGCTGCAGCGTGGCGATGGTCTGGTTGAAGTTCCCTACCTGGATCTGCACAGAGGTGGGGGGAGGGGGTTGCATCCTCCCTGGACTTACGCCCTGGCTCTTCTCCTCGCTAGCTGTGCGGTCTTGAGCAAGGCACCTAACCTCTCTGAGCCTCAGATGCCACAACTATAAGACAGAGAGAGACCCACCCATCTCCTGGGGATGCTGTGAGGGCTAAATGAGATGATGCTTGTCAAACCCTTAGTCCCGAGCCTGGCACAGAAGGCAGACTCAATAAATACAGGCAACTGTGATTACTATTACAGCCTGGGAGGAGCAGCAGAAGAGCCAGTGGCCGGGCAGTTCATAGAGCCTGGCCATGTCCTGAAGTGTCTGTAAGGCTGCCCAACGACCAGGGGAGCAGGTGAGTTCTTAGGACTCAAAGGGCAGAACCGGGACTGGGGTACAGGTGAAAGGGAGCTTTTGCAGTCAGAACCATCCTGGGTGGCATGTGCCACCTGGGAGGGAGTGAGCGCCCCATCTCAGGAGGCATGCAAGCAGGTACAGTGCAGAAGAGATCACATGTTCTAGGCCCTCTCTCCACTCCTGCTTCCCTCCCTCCATGACTCGGCATGGCGACTGGAGGCCCAGACTCTGGGTAGAGCAACAAGTGGAAGCGGGACAACTTGTCATGGCCTCTGAGAGTCAGCTGGGGCTGATCACCGACCTTGAACAGATCACTGAGTTTTGGGGTCTCGGCTTCCTCATCTGCCAAGTGGGGAGGTAAAGCTCCTCTCTGCCCTGGTTGTCTAAGCTTCTGAGCATGACAATGCTCAGCTGAGACGTGCCGGGCAGGGGGCAGATGCTCAGGCACTTGGGACAAGACTGGGGGCCAAGCCCACCTCTGTCTCTAGTGCCCCGTCCACTCACTGTGATGGGCAGCTGCCCCTCGCCTGTGCCCAGGGACTCGTTGACCGAGCAGTGGATGACTCTCTCGGAGACGATCTGGATGTCACAGGCCACCTGGCCAATCTTGACCCGGTACTCGTGGCTCTCGAGGCCCAGGCCGTCCTGCTCCTTCTGCGGGAGCAGAAGGGGTGCTCGTGAGGCCTGTGGCTAAGCCCGGCCTGCTCACGCCCCGCACCTGGCACCCACTGGCACTCACGTGGATGACCAGGGTGAGGGGCTCCCCGGGGTGGTGCTTGATCCACTTCTCCCTCTTTGCCGTGGAGAACTGTGGGTCAGGGAGGTAATCCAGGCGGAACCTGCTGCCCCGCTGGGCCTCCTCGGGGTCCAGGAGCTCCTCGTCCACGGCTGCCTCGTCGGCGTAGGCCCGGCCGTTGAGGAGGAAGTCCACGGGGGCTGACGCGTTGCTCAGGGCCCCGGGCGATGGGCAGGTGATGAGGGTGGAGTTAAGAACCTTGCAGAGCTGGTTGGGTAGGGCCGGGGCCAAGGTCGGGGACGGGAGGGCCAGTCAGATGTGGGAAAAGAGGGGGAGAGAGAGAGGCAAAGAGACAGGAGAGGTGGAGATGAGGAGATGTGGTGGAGGGACGCCTGGTCAGCCGGGGCCACAACCAGCCCTGCCCGCCGGGGCCCCGCCCTCACCGTGGGCTCCCGGCCGATGTGGTGCACGGCCATGGACACCTTCTGCACCATGTGGAAACGCTCGCCGGCCACCGTGATGGTCCTGCCGCCACTGTGGGGGGACAGCAAGCCCCGTGAGCCCAGATGCAGCCCCAGAGAGTGCCCTGGCCTGTGGTCACGTCCAGGTCTCACCTGACGTGGCTGCGGCGGGGACTGATGGCCGTGATGACTGGGTTCCGCTTGTACCAGAAGGTGAGGTTGCCGCGCACGCAGCCCCGGCGCTCGAAGCGCACGCACACGGGCACGGGGGCCGGCAGGGCGCCCCCAGGCACCGTGCAGGTGATGCTGGTGTCCGTGCGCCTGCGGAGG